TGTGTGAGAGAGAGAGAAGGGGGGGGACTGTGCCAAGCTGTCCGTTATGTGACTCTGACACGTGCTACTTCGTTTCTTCTTTGTGTTTTGCCTTCCCGGAAATGCTCCAAGATGCTCTCATGTCAATGCTACTCCCGAGAAGTCCCCCACCCGAAGAGCAACTGCCAAAGAGCAGATTGAATGCTGATTGTTTCATTCATACAATGCAAAACCTGCGTAACATCAGCGTCACTCCTATAGTTGGAGCCGACTTCCTTCAACTTCCCCGGGCCAATCGTCAATGACATCATCCGAGCCCACCAAAGTGAGACTCACCCACACACGCATGCACTTGCGCACATAGCGTAAAAGCTCAACAAGTAAGCACGGGGCATGCATACATGCAAGATGGGTTGATCACAAACATATCCAGAGAACACAGCAAACAAAGTCTGAATCTGAATCTTTAGCTGCAAAAACATCAACGGGACAATGGACAGGCTTTTCTCAGAAAAGTGCAGAGATCTTGCACATCACAAAACAAAAACGATGCTGCGAAGGTGATGGCTCCCCAAACAAAACACTCAAAGATAAAGGGAAAAAAAGGCTCGGCGGCATATGATAGGGGAGTTCCTTATGCTTTTTCTTTCTTTTGCGGGCGAAGCCGCAACGGGTCATCTAGTAAATAAATAAAGGTCGTTGCAAATTCGTACCTGCGGTCTAAGGGCTGCCGTGGGCCTCCAGGGCGCACCTCTGAAGGGCACGCGGCCTGGGGACCCCTCAGCAACCGTCGGGCCGCTGAAATGGGGCCCGTGTGCAGGCGTAGCATGTAACACACCCCCCTCCTTAGGAAGTCAAGCCAGGTTAAGGGCGAAGCTGATGATGCGATGGTGAAACCTGGACACTAGTATGGCGTAGAGCCGAAGGTACCGGCTTGGATTGTAACTTGCATTCAGAACGTGTGAGAACGTCGAGGGCTGTTGCCTGAAGTTCCGCAGGGGTCAACCAACGGTCAGCCTTGTGGCTGCAATAGGAAAAATGTACCAAGTACTTTGTTGGCCTGTTGCTGTAGCGTCGCTGGGAGATAATGTCGCCAACCTCTTGAAAACCGTCCATAGAGGGTGGGTCTTGCGATCGTCGCCAGGGAAAGTCGTCGCGTTCCGCAGAAACTAACAGAGCTAATGGGTAGATGGGCAAGTGGGCGGGCCCCTGAATGACAAATGAAGTCCTTCGGGTGCATCCCCAGCGAGTGCCACGATGGGCCAGGGCCCCGTCCATTTCGGAAGGAGCTTGCGACAAATATCTTGTTCGAGGCTGAATTCCGTGGTGGAGACCCATACGAGGTTGCCGACGCGGAATGGACAAGGAAGACGCTGGTGATTGGCCAGTTGGCTCATACGTTGCTGCGTCTTCGACATCTGGTCATGTGCCTTGACAAGTAGCTCTTGTATTTGACGAATGAATAGAAGGTGGTCATCGCTCTTGGCCGCATGTGGGATGATAGTCCAACGGAGAAGTGACTTGTGACCCATGCTCGAGCTCAAAGGGCAACATCCCGCTGGATGAATGGACGAGTTGTATGCCAACTCGACATCAGGCAGCCGCTCAACCCAATCCTTTTGGTCGGGACGGATGAGAGTGCGAAGAAGAACTTGTGTGGTGTAATTCGCCCTCTCCATTTGGCCATCGGTTTGGGGGTGGCGAGCGGAACTTGGCTCGAGGGATGAGCCTCATCTTTTGATGAGTGCCAACCAAAAGTCGGACATGATCCGAGTGTCACGGCGGCAAACGATCTCCTTGGGGTAACCCTTGGTTCGAATCCGACCGGCGTAAAGAACCTCGACCAATTTCGGTGCCTTGGCATGATAGCAGCAAGGAAAAAACATGACAAACTTGGCGAGTCGATCGACCACCGTGAGAATCCCATCCACACCGGTCTTGTGCTTGGGGAAAGCCAGGTGATGTCCATGGCAATCGCTTCCCTTCGTCGCAAGGGGACAGGTAATGGTCGCAACTCGCCGTACAGACAGGGATTGGGGGATCTGCAACGTCGACAAACATTGCATGAAATGTCACCGAGAAGGCTGGTCCACCAAAAGCGCCCGTGAAGTCGGCCAATCGTTCGATTGATTCCAAAATGTCCGGTGGCGGGAGCGTCGTGGAACCAAGAATCTGTGTACGCAAGTGGGAATCACTTGGCACGCATGGGCGAGCAAATATCCCTCTTGGATCCGATAGTGCGATGACGCCGGATTTGGAGAGGAACAATTCGCGCACTTATCACGAAACTCGGGGTCGGCTTGGTAGTCGCGGATGAAGCTGTCCCACAAGTTGTCATCATTCTTGAAAGTAGACTGCGATACAATGGTTCGGACGCCGTGAAATAGCATTCGGAAAACGGTTTGACTTTCTCGGAATGTGATCGGGAACGAAGTCAAACTGGTCGATGAAAGTTATCCAACGGGCGATGGTGCTATTGATCGTGCCTTGGGTCTTGTAGAAGACCAACGGATTATTATCGGTTACCCATCGGAATTGACTTCGATTAAGAAGAAAATGTCGTCACCGCTTAAGCGCGTGTACGAAAGCTAACAACTCCTTTTGTGTGCCGTCAATCGAGTGCACGACGGGCACTTTCTTGCTAAAGTATTTGACGAGGTGCCAATCCTCGCCATCGTGTTGCTCGAGGACAACACCAATGCCATAGCCGGACGCATCCGTTGTGACACGCGTCGGCCACAGCGGGTCATAGATGTTCAAGACCTCCACAACGGGTCATAGATGTTCAAGACCTCCGTGAATAGCAAAGCGGCTTTGAGGGCTAAAAAAGAAGCCCGCAGATTGTCATCGATCTCAAGCGGCCAATCCTCGCATTAAAGCTTTGGTTGAATTGGTCGAGATCTTCGCATAGCTTTTGATAAAGTGTCGATAGTAGCCGGCAAGGCCACGAAACGAACGGACATGTGTGACGTTCCTTTGTTTCAGACACTCTTGGACGACTTGGATCTTGTCTGATAACGGACTGATGCCCTCCGGTGTAACAAAGTGACCCAAGTACTCCAACTCTTGACGTACAAATTTGCACTTGTTGCGGTTGGCTTTGTACTTGGCGAGGTGGAGCGTCTCCAACACACGTCGAAGATGCTTGAGATGGTCCTCCAAGGTCCCACTTTAGAGGAGAATGTCGTCCAAGTAGACCAGCACAAACCGGTCCAACACTGTGTGGAACTCGTAGGTCATCACCGCTGGAAAAGTCGTCGTGGAATTGGTGAGGCTAAAAGGCATGACGCCCCACTCAAAATGTTTGTACCACGTTTTGAATGCGGATTTATAGCGATCTTTTGGACGTATCGAAATTTGATGATAGCCCGACTTCAAATCCAACTTCGGAAAGTACTTCGTGCCGCCCAAACACAAGAAGATCGTCGATACGAGTAAGAGGCCCCACATTCTTGACGGTTTGCTTGTTGAGCTTGCGGTTGTTGATGCACAAGCATAGATCCTTGTTCTTCTTCCGTACGAAGAGAACTGGCTCACCATATGGCGAGCTACAACGGCGGATCTAGTCATCAAGTTGCACGTGAAGAATTGCGAGCTCTTCCTCGCTCATGCGATAGATGCATCCTTTTGACGGCACGACATCGGCCTCAAGAATAATCTCACGGGAGATCGGGTGATCGAGCGCCACACTGGTAGGAGACTCGAAGATGTCGGCAAACTCATCAAATTACCGCACCACACAGGGGTCCGAAGACAAGTCCATGGGTGAAGAGTCGGCTACCGCGACGGCTCGAAGAAAACATAGGTCGGTCTCGTCGGTCAGCTCGTAGGCACAAGTGGCCCTAAAAGACTTGGCCGTCACAACTTGGCACCGGATCGGAGGGTGCGGAAGACGAATAGTAGACGGCAGCTCAGAGAGAAGGTTGAAAACAGTCGTATTTTCCATCACCACTTCAGGATGCAGCCTTCCTAGACAGGTGGTTTTCAAGGTTTTTCAGACCTTTCAAAACTTCAGGACACCCTTCACCACTTCATAATGCAGCCTGCCTAAACAGGTGGTTTCACGGTCTTCGGACCTTTCACCACTTCAAGACCATTCAGACTGCTCAAAACTCTCACTTCACCACTTCAGGATGCAGGCTGCCTAAACAGGTGGTTTTCAGGGTTTTCGGACCTTTCACCACTTCAGGACCGTTCAGGATTTTCAGACTGCCCAAAACTCTCACTTCAAAATATTCATTCCTGAATTTTGAGCTACCTGTTAACCGCCTGTGGCACCTCGGCGCCAAAGGCGTCGGGAACGGTGAGTGTCCGCCGATGGAAGTTGACCGTGTGAACGGCACTTGCAAGCCAAGGCATCCCCAAAATGATGTCGAAGTCTGTGTCCAAGACGTAAAACGTCACCGGTTCTCATGCATGAGGTACGAAATAAACCGGTACGACTTTGATTTAGCAATCAAGGAGTTGTTGTGTTCGACCGTCCGCCAACTTGACCGCCGTAGGTTGTCTTCCTTCGAACTTGTGCACCAAGGTCGACCCTTTGTATAAAGGACTGGTTCATGAAGTTGCGAGTCGCGCCGCTATCCAGCAAAGCGCTGCAGGACGCTTGCCCATGCGGACATAAAGCAGTGCTGCGTTGTTGTCATCGTACCGCTGCGTGCGAAACTCACGGGCCACCTTGGTAACATACACAAGGAGGTCCCCCACCGCAACTTCGTTATCCGTCGATGAAGTTGGTGGTGCATAGAAGGCTAAGTATAGTGTTGCACATTGTAGTTCCAATAAGCAGCCTGTGGTAGGAAGAGGAAGCCATGCGAAATCCTCGAATGTCAACGAGTCCAAGACCTCTATGTTGAACTCGCGCACCGAATCCCTTGAAGAACCACTTGAAAACGGTAAATTGTCGCCGCTTTCGAACGGGGAAGAAACGACACACACATCTTGTCCTTGAGCATGAGAACCCAACGAAGGAACGAGCCGGGCAGCATAGTCCTCGTAGGAATAAAGAATGGGAGGACTTACGATTTTCGCGTGTGCCTCGGAATTAAGGGAGGTTGCTCGCACGACAACCGGTTTCAAAGGCGTCGAGAGTGTCGTCGCATCACTCTTGACGGTGCTCACTTTCCTGGATTGGGCTTTCCCTTGGCTTTTGCGGTATAGCTGGCTGTTTCATGAAGGCCATTGTTGCACCACAAACAATATTGAATCTCGTGCGAATCTTGTAGATGCCCTCCGAGAGACTGTAATGGATCCAAGGTTCTTGAGCTGCTGTGCCGGGCGCATGGTTCGAAGAGGTGTTCGTCTTCGATTTGCCGCGACCTCGTTCTTTGGCGGGGTGTTCTGATGGAAATTTTGCATCTGGCGGTTCCACTTGGAACCGCTTGTGCCATGCCGCCTTGAGATCAGCCCATCTGATCTGTTTGTGCAGTTCAGATACGGTGACCTTGTGCGTGGACAGCAAATTGTCAAGCCATGCCTGACACACGCCCCCGTAAGCATGTCGTTTGGGGTCACTTAACTCGTACATGTCCAAAACAAGGTCGAATCGGCGCCACCATGGAACTGGCTCGGTCTTCGATGCGTTGCAAAAGATCGGAATGCCATCGAACTTAGGTATGCGATCGCGAGATGTCGAAGGAGGAGCGGCGGTGGCTGTGCAGATCTGCTGTGAGAGCTGTTGCGTGCCCTCCTTGAGTGTTCCGATGACGACCTCTATCTCGTTGAGGCGAGTGGAGAGGCTGGAGGGGCCGTCTTTTGGAGCGGCGAACGGTAGTTCCAGCAACTGTATGGGGCTGGTCAACTGTTGGACTGTCTTCTTGTGGTCATCCACTGCGTCATTGAGGCACTGGATATCCTCCCGCTGTGCTATGCAAGTAGCCAGGAGGTCCGTGAAACGGCTCAGCAAACACGAGATCTTGAGCCCGCTGTTGGTGATGTCGCCGCTTTCTGCCTTGGTCCGGCATTCCTCGGCCAGCTTGAGTAAGTCTCTTTCCGCCTTGAATACCTTCTCACACCATTGTCCAGGTTCCTCATTGGCAGCCCTTGCTGCTGCTTCGTTGTGCTGTCGGCGTTGTTCCTCCGCCAGCTGATGTTGGTGTTCTGCCTCCTCTTCCTTTTTCTTTCGTGCGGTTGTCGCCACGTCTGTCCGCTGCTTGATTTCTGCCATCAAAGTCAGCATACGGCCCTCGTAGGCCGCCTCGTTTTCCCCTTGCTTCAGGTCCATGTCGCCTGTTTGTGATCTGGTGAGCATGGACTAGGCCGGGGAACTGCTGATGTGGCACTCTCTGCTGGTGACGTGGCACTGTTTGGCTGCTGATGTGGCACTGCTGTCTGCTGACATGTTGCTGATGTGTCATTGCTGACATGGCCTGCTGACGTGGCAACTTACCAATGCCCTAGCAGTGGAGGGAAGAAGCAGACAGGTGGGGGGAGAAGTGTAGAAGAGGGATGCAGGTGCATAGATGGGGTGGGTGGGAGAGGGGAAAGTGGGAGATGTAATGTTCTAGCACTTCCTCGCCCCCATGGGGTCGCACTGAACGCCCAGATAACGAGCCACTAATCAAAAAAATGAAAAGGTCGAACTTTGCGTAATTAATAATACTTTCGAAGAAAAATAAAAAAATTCGAAATTGCAAGTTCGGTAGGTCTCCAATCGCCAAAATCCCAAAATTGAAAGAATAAAAAATAATTCCAATTTCAGACTGCAGAAACATCAGATTGCAAGTTCGGTAGGTCTCCCAATCCCCCAAAATGTGGCCCGTGTGCAGGCTCAGCATGTAACACACGTGAAAGGAAAAGGGGGAAAAAAAAATTATTTTCTATACTGCAATGATATCAGGCAGGGTAGTGTAGGAGGCCGTGCTCACAGCCTTCCTCTACAGAATGCATCTTACTGCGAACACGGTCACATTATGAAAGTTGTTTTCTTTTTTTTGCAAGGAACATGAGAGAGAGTGATAGACAGAAATCCAGATTGCAAAATCACGAAGTAGCCAGATAGTCATGTACCAAGTAGAGAGCACAATGCACCAAAGATACCATCCAAACAAGAGCAATACAATGAACTTGTGTGCGAATGTAGATGCTCTCTGGTCACACCAACACAGTATCCAATGTCGCTCCTACTGTTTGGCGCCCATTTCCCAGACTACACTACTCAGCCTATCTATGCCCATTTCATATCGAAGTCGAAGACCAATGTACGTGACGTCATCACCGAAGCAGACCGCCAGTATACACCAGGTACGTGTCTCTCTCTCCTCTCACATCACCCTTGACTTCCCCACAGTGTGCATCCTCGACGCCCAAGGACCACCACCACCATCACCAGCCTCGGCTGCGCAAGCCCGGCTAAGGCTGCTCAATGCCCACTGCACCAGCAGCGCCCCACACCTTAATGCGCCCGTGTGCGCCTTTTCCAGCCCCTGGCCTACCAGCGGCCTCTAGTGCTCAAACCAGTAGTGCTGCCGCCAGCAAGCGCACAGCCCGAATGCCCCTGGCTGCCGTGATCACTTTTCTTTATGGAAAGTGAGCCCTGCTTTGTTAAGCTCTGGGCCCGGCGGGACGAGTTTCCAGTAGCCTCCAGTTGGGCCCCAGTGTCTGTGCCCAGGCCCAGTTGCAGTTACGGGCACTTACGAGCGGCCAGCGAGGCTCCAAGTGTTCATCGCGATCTCATTGCCTCACGGCCAGTGTGTGACGACAATGCAGCAATCTCATTGGTCCGCGGCTGTTGTGTGATGTGTCGGCCTCAAGATGCACACGCCCAAGGCCTGAACTGTACGGGGTCCTGGGTTCAACTGCCCGTCGAGGCTGCAGCTTCCGGAAAGAGTCTGGAAAGGCTCACGTTACTCTGTAACCAACTGGCGTGCTGCAATTGTCTGATACCACACATGTGGAATTTGACACACGCCCAAGGCCTGAACTGTTGTGTGATGTGTCGGCCTCTGGATGCACACGCCCAAGGCCTGAACTGTACGGGGTTTTGGGTTCAACTGTGCGTCGAGGCTGCAACTTCCGGAAAGAGTTTGATAAGGCTCACGTTACTCTGTAACCAACTGGCGTGCTGCAACTGTCTGATACCACACATGTGGAATTTGACAAATATAGGCCTCTTGTAAATATTATGGTCCACCTTCACTTAGGGCGGGCACAAGTCTGTACGGGGCCTCAGCCGAGATGTGGGGTGAGCCCTAGAAGGGCTACTGCGAAGATTCATGCCGGCATATAGATTCCAAGGGCCCCTTCAGCGTGATCACACTGGCCTGTACCCAGGCCTTGGCACATATTGGCAGGCCAGCCTTCACTTAGGTCGAGCAAGGCCTTTTCCAGCACTGCCGAGGGTGCAATGCACCCAGTCTGTTAGGTACTCGGAAGTCGTCAATCAACAGTAGTTTCAATACCTGTTTGAAAGTCTCCAGATCGTGAAGTGATATCTCGAGCAGTATCTCATTATCCAAAAAGAGGAGTGTGGAGGGAGAATAAAGAAAGGAGAGGAAGAGAGAATACACAAACACAAAACCCTTCAGATCCCTCTCCTTCTCCGGGCTTCTTTCCACACTACATCATCAATGATAATAAGAATAATCCTGGTCACCTACAATAGTGCCACGTGGCACTTTATCTCTTGAAGACTTTGAAGACAACAGATTTCTAGTGACGACGTCAACCACAGGTGAGTACCCGATTCTCTACATCCACAGATCCCGATCTTCCGCTTCCTCGCAACCAGTCACCTCATGTAGGCAGCGTGGACAATGCCACGTCAGCAACCAAGATAGGTGGCACACGCCACATCAACAATGTCGACCAATAGCAGCGCTACATATACCAGGAGCAGCGCCACGTATACCAGAGGCAGCGCCACATCAACATGCCCCGTAGACCAGAGGCAGCGCCACATATACCAGAGGCAGTGCCACGTCAGCATGCCACGTAGACTAGAGGCAGCGCCACATATACCAGAGGCAGCGACACGTCAGCATGCCACATAGACCGGAGGCAGNCGACACGTCAGCATGCCACATAGACCGGAGGCAGGGCGACATACACCAAAGGCAGTGCCACGTCAGCATGCCACGTAGACTAGAGGCAGCGCCACGTCAGCGTGCCACGTAGACCAGAGGCAACACCACATATACCAGAGACAGCGCCACGTTAGCATGCTATGGTGCACCGAAGAAGCACCAGCGTGCCGCCTCCACCTTGTGTCATCGTCCACAACGCGTGTGCACAGCCAGCATGAAGCCAGCGTTGTCAAACTCAAGCCAGCGTCATAGCAGCAAAGCAAGACTGAATGCTCGACTTGCTCGAGGCTAGCCTTAAGTAGCAGTCGTCGAGGCTGTCTGGCCTCGGATGCTTTCCCCCAGTCGTCCAGATTGACTCACATCTCAAGGCCCGGATTGTACCGTTGCAGACTTCTCCCTTGGACCTGATGATGCTTGGGTACCTACATACAAACAAGTGTGTGTGCTTGACCTGCGGCCTGGGCTAGGTACCTCTGGACTTTGGCTGTTGGGTGGACCGACAGTTGACCAAAGTCAATTGTCACACGCCCGGCCTTTGAATTCGTGAAGGGCCTTTTCTGCCCTTGTTTGGCCTGGGCTGAGGGCGGCTAGGTAAGCCTTCTGAGGGCCCTCAGTTCCACAAGACATATGACATGGGTTATTGCATTCCCGTCGTCCCAGTTTTCGAGTTCCATCACAGAAATTAAATCAATTCCTGGTTAACCCACGTTCATAGGCAGCAACAATATCAGGTGCAGTGGGTAGAAGTTTTTTCCTACTAAACCATCTAGCTTCAGATGGGGGTTGAGACTTGAACGTTACCTTATATTGCTTATGAGGTCGCCCTCTGCCACCTGTAGAGAAACAACCATGCTCCAATATTTTCTCAACTTCATAGCCCCCATTCATGGAGGGTGGAATCATAGATGGTCAATTTGGGAAAGCATCACTTTCTATATAAGGTAGCAGTTTAAACGCATGGGAGACAAGGTATGTCCTGAGGTGTGAAGGTATATCTATACGATAAGAAGGTCCATCTTCACCTCCAATTACTTTGAGAACTTCCCAGGGCCCATAGTAGACATGTAGCAGTTTCTGAGGCACATTCTCTTCCAAGGAAAATTCTTTAGACTTAACTCAGACAAAGTACCCCTCTTGGAATTGTGAAGGACGATGATGTTTATTAGCTTGTTCAATCATTTGCAACTGGGCTTTTTGTATATTTTCCTTTACTTTCTTAATGTCTTCTTCGTACAGAACTGCAGATTCACACGTACCTGGGGGTAGCCTGGGAATCTGGTCCCTCGTTAAAACAACAATGGGACGTCTAGGCTTCCAACCTTTATGCAGTGCGTTAGGTGTTCTACCTGTGACAGTGTGTATACTGTTGTTATATGCACTGGCAATTTTAGGCAAGTTCTCATTCTAGTCAATTTGATCTAGACGGACATACATCGCAAAAGTTGTTGACAGAGATAATTCATTTGCTCAGTTTGGCCATTCGTTTCAGGATGTTTGCCTGACGACATGGTCAACCGGGTTCCATAGAAAACCATCAACTTTTGCCATTGTAGACTAGTGAACCGAACATTTCTATCCGATACAACGGTTTTGGGAAATCCATACTCAGAGACCCATCGCATTTGGAACTTTTGTATGACTAGTTCGGTTCTGGCTTCATCGGGCAAAGGAATGAACATAGCGTACTTAGAGAATCTATTGACTATTACCATTACCTGACTAATGACGTTTCGACTTTTAGTGAGGCTTATAAAGTCAATTGAGAGACTCAACTGACTCACTTGGAATAGGCAGTGGTAATAGTCCCATAGGATTCTCATGTGAGGGCTTGTTCCTTTGACAGACAAGACAGGTCCGCACATACGTCAGTAGATCTTCTTTCATTCCTTTCCACTCAAAACGTTTACGCACATCGGCGTACGTCTTCTTGAAACCAAAGTGTCCTTCTGTATCATGGCATTCCCCAATTATCAAACTCTTAAATGGTTCTAAGTGAGGAGTAAACCATCGTTTTTCGGTTTTGTTCAGCAAGAAGAGAAGCCATCAGTCATTCGATATTCTGGAAACAATTCAGGGTTCTTTAGTAGAGTTCCAATGATAGGACTCCAAAAAAGATCACTCCCATAACCCTATCGGACGGATATGTTCTTTCAGTTCATTTCCAATATCGAGATAAGAGACAATAGTTCTAAAGAAATTTGCACGCCTGGACAAAGCATCCACAACCACATTAGACTTAACTTTCATGGTTTTCACATCAAATGTATCAAGGAAGGCGGACCACCTTACTAACTTCTCAGAGAGTCTAGTCAGTCTTGATCCACTTCAACGTAAAGTGGTCAGAATAGACAGTAAAATGCCTTCCCAACAAGTAGTGCTTCCGGGTTTCTAGTGCAGCTACTAAGGCATACAGTTCTCTTTCATACGTAGAGTTGGCTACCTTTTATGATGGAAGTCTTCTCGACATAAACTCAACAGGTCTATATCCCTTACCGTC